ATTTTTCGAACTATTAAAAAAATTCTCGCGACCGCAAAGCTCATTTTGTTTTCTTAATCGGCAATTACGTGCACGATGATCGAGGGAGAAGTTCTTGTTAAAAGAAATAGGTACTCTCGAAGGGGACTAGTCTCGCGTTGATAATGGGATTTTTCAATGAAATCTTTAATGATTCCTCGTTATTCCGATCCGTTTCATCCGTCCTTCCTTTACTTGCAATTTAAATTTTTTTCTCATCATTGATAGATTTTGCCTGATCTCTAGAGTTTCACTTTCTATTTATCGCATTCATTAAATCGGATAAAATCGATGATAGAATGTTTTATTTTTTAACCGTGAAATTGTTTAAGTGTCGAAACTTATATTTGTAATTATTATTTTACGTATTAGTACAAATTAAATAAAACATTTAAAAATAAATTAAAAATTTAATTAGAAATAATATAAAATATTAATATTTTAATATTTAATATTAAGATATTTTAATATTAATCTATCTATGATTTAATGATAATATGTATTACGTTCTCATATATACAACAAAGGTTTGTGTAATTTGTATAGCTCTAATTAATAATTTAATTTTTTAAAATAATGAATACTTAATTTTATGCAAATTTTATCAAACAAGCAGAACAAAAGAACAGTTTGAAAGTATATAATACTTCAAATGTTTATACAATAAATATTATTTAATAATAATGTATATTAAAATATATACATTAAAAGTAAAGATCTACAAAATTAATTATTTTCCTCTTTAAGTTGTTTAAAGTGCACATATTAAAATTTGCTGTTCTTTAAACGTCTGCAAACTTTAACAATAGAAATTAGATTCATCTATGTTCCATCTAAAATTTCGCTTATTGTTTGTAATTCTCTTTTCCAATCTCTTTTTCAACGCCAAGAAAAGGAGCGAATATTGTCAAAAATTTCGATTCTACTCATTGCGCGGTCACACCGTGAGTCTTTTACAATATTTCACATTTATGAATAAAAATGCAGCCCACGCAAAGCAGATCTTCGAAGACGACGGAACTTCCTTCAGAAAGGCTCTTGGAAGTTCACCTAAACCCTTTTAAAACTTCAAGGCCCGCTCGCGATCCCTTCTCCTTTCGCATTTCGCCCCTTTCGAAAATCCCTAGTAAAACTTAAATTCAAATCTTAGCGATGCCGCACCGTATGTTCTCTCTTGGAGCAGCTTAGTCTCCCTTAAATTTCCAGTTAACAAGACTAAACCAAACTCGAGCATGTATATATGCGAACATCTTATATATGCGTGTTTACTGAGTTAAATACATAAGAGTTTATTGAAGAACACCATATGCGCGACTGTATAATCGGTTTAATATAAATCTGTGCATGGCATCATCGAAATCAATCATTTTCTAAATTAAATTATTTTAACTTAGATCGTTTTACATTACATTAATTAAATAAAACTCGAAGATGAATGTAATCTATTATATATTGAAAATTATTTAATTGTGTGAAATGTTTACTTCACTTAAATAAACATATCTAAAAATATATTTTTCATATCTCATTGCTCTCCGTAAAAGAGATATATTGGAATGTATATATATAGAGAGAGATATTTTTCATTGTAATCAATAAATTAATTAATGTAAATTCAAATATAAAGATTGAATGAAATGTCTCATTTTTATGAAACTGTCAAATGGCCAAAATAGCGTGTGCGGAAATCTTAGGAATTAATATACTTTTATAATCGAGGAAAAGATAATAGTATCACTACGTCTTAATCAAACACCGTAAACAAGTTGCATCTCAACTCTTTCGACTCGATTATATCGATACTGCCAAGCACGCGTGTGTTACAGCGTTGACTAATACATGAGAGACACGCTTCGCGGCAATGGGATAAGTTCAGTGGGCTGTTTTCCAAGTGGATTTTCTTGTTCCACTCTCGATATCTCACGTGTGCACTAAGAGTATACGTGGTATGATTTCATCGTGCGCATGACTTTGCTTCATACGTCCCACGAATATCGCAGAAAATATATTTAATCGCAGCAAACAGAAACGGTTTCGATAACGGAATGTGAATTATGAATCGCTTTTTATGCTAGGTTTATCATCTCAATCGCTCTTAGCACTTTTTATCTGACTGAAATGTGATATTTACATAAAATCAATCAATACTACCTATAAATATTTCGATTTTCAATTGTTTTACAATATGTAAATTGAAATAATTTGAAAATATTTGAAAGTACTTTAGAAATTTATTATTGTTCAAATTCACTTCAAAGCTAATTTTAAAATGTATTTGATTCGTCTATTATATAGATTGTCAGATTTCTCAAAATAATTAAATGTATTTTGAGAAATCTGACAATTTATGGATTTGCACAATTTATAATTATATAACTTTAGTTTTAAAAAAATAATTATAAATTTTTTATTATTTGCTATTTATTATATATAATTTATCATTCAATATTATTTTTAGATGCAGTTTTTTAGACAGATTATTATTACGTATAAAAATATTTCTTTATTTCACATAGATCTTTCACGATTAAATGTCACATTAATTGAATACCATATAGGGGGTTGCAAATCCATAATAATCTATAGCATTCCAATCACGAAACGTCAGGTAGTTTAAACCCATACATCTATACTGTCAATCAATTGTTGTCGATAGCTACAATATATATCCTATGCAATGTCTACGACATATGCGAGATATTGTAACATCGGATAAATTATTAGATATTTCGAAAAAATATTTAAATTTTTAAACAGAATGTGAAGAGACTTAAGAAGTAATTTTTATTAAACCTTAATAATTAACATTAATCAATTTATAATTAAAGTATATACAAAAAAATTTAATATTTTGATATCAAAATTATAAGATAAAATTTTACTAGTCTTGTAAAAAATAACACGATAATGTTTTCTTAAAAATAATTTATATTTTTATATCATGATAAGCTTTGCTTTATCTACACGGAAAAAAATTAGTTATTATAGCTAAATTTTAGCTGTTCCTATATATTAAACATGAAATTTAGTTGTCATGTCTAAATTTTATCTATGATAGCTAATATTTTTTAGTTATACCATTCTTCATTAAATTGTAGCTGAAAAAAATATTATTGTAGTTACCATAGATAAAATTTAGACATAATTTAAAATTTATGTTGCAATATATAGAGACAGCTAAAATTTAGTTATGACAGCTAATTTATATTCTATGTAACAAACTAAGCAAATTAATATTATTAATAATAAATATTTAAAATATTCGTATGTGTGTTTGTAAAAAAATGTAAGTACTGTTTTCAATTATCTTTAAACGCTCTTAGCATCAGGGAGTTCAGAAAGAAGATTGCATTTAAATATTTCCTGCTAATTTAAGAAGCTTAGAATTTTTGTAAGTAGCCGTCTAACATAACTCAAAATAATGATTCTTTTTTAGATAAAAAAACGTTACGTATAAAAATCTCAGGAAACAGAAATGGATTCAAATGACAGTTGGTAGCTCGCTTTTGTACGAACAAGTCCTTAGTCCGAGCACGATTTCAGCATTGCTCTGACCATGGCAACGCGTTCGTTTGCCGGAACATCATTTTTCATCCGTCGTCTCTCATCTGGAGTCCCGACTATGATTTATCGCGCCGCAGCATCGTCGAAAAACTTGCTAATGCGTGCCGTGCAACGGCAGATGAAGATGCACTGCCGTTTTCCGCAGCAAGAGAAATCTCGCAAGTATCGACAGGGTTTTCAACGAGCGCGCGTTAGTGGAAATTAATCTCAGCTTCGTCGCCGTGCGACCGCGCTTTTTCTCGATAATTTCATATTGGAAAAGTTCGTAAAGATTTCTTATGAAAGAATAATATATATTTGATACCTATTGCATTTTACTTTATTACACATTTTTTATGTAGATTTATTCATTATTTGCATCTAATGTGCTCATTGTTATAAATTTTATGTGTCAATATGTGTATGTGACAGCATACAAAAATTTATAAAGATTACTCGAAAATCCTTTATATATTAATTAAATATTCGTTTGAGTGACATCAAATTTTCCATAAATAAAAAAATTACTTTAAAATTATATAAAAATTTGATTATTTAAAATATATATTTATAATTTTAAAAAATTTGATAAAAGAATTTTTAATAATACAATATTCTTCTAGGTTATTTTAAATAAACTTTATCCCAATAGAGATATATTTGTTCAGATATTTTTAATCTTAGAAAAATTAAAGACTTGCGTAAAAGACTTATATAATTTTTCCCAAGTAATAATTCTCGAAATTTATGAGAGAATCAGTATTTTACTCAAGAATCGCACAATTCCATGACAAATTGTAAAATATATAATAATTAGTCAATATTTAAATGAGACATATCAAGCATATTCGTCATAAATTAATGACGTAAAGAATTTTCAGTTAAATTAAACCTTACCTTTGGGTAATAAACAGAAATTCCTATGTGCATTGTATTAGATGCACAATTTAAAATATAACAATCAATCAATGTGCAAATGAGATATATCAAACATATTCGTCATAAATTAATTACGTAAAGAATTTTCAAATAAATTAAACCTTACCTTTGGGTAATAAACAGAAATTCTTATGTGCATTGTATTAGATGCACAATTTCAAATATAACAATCAGTCAATGTGTAAATGAGACATATCAAACATATTCGTCATAAATCAATGACGTAAAGAATTTTCAGATAAATTAAACCTTACCTTTGGGTAATAAACAGAAATTCCTATGTGCATTGTATTAGATGCACAATTTCAAATATAACAATCAGTCAATGTGTAAATGAGACATATCAAACATATTCGTCATAAATCAATGACGTAAAGAATTTTCAGATAAATTAAACCTTACCTTTGGATAATAAACAGGAATTCCTATGTGCATTATTAAATTATATATATTAGATGTACAATTTAAGCACGCGTGCAGAAAATGAAGAAATCACTCACCAATCGGACGTTGCTGTCTCCAGAAGTTTTTGGTAGTCATCACGTCGCTTGATGAAAAAGTCGATGCCGTTGCTTTGTCTGCAACATGAATATAGATCGAAAATTAGATACTTATTCACATATATATTCGATTAAGACATAATTCGCGATCGTGATTGTTAACGTCTCTAGATCGTTGTTCGATTAGAAAGCCATTGGGGTTTGCCTGCCGCATCATGATACTATGCAAACTCCGGCACGTGTTGCACCAAAAGTTGGACGCCGTTTAGCGTGTCGATAAAATCTCAATTATAGTTCTCGACGTATCGCGCAAGGCGCCAGAATCTACGACCAACATCGTACATATGTACGCATATGGCTGTCTAACATTAATAATCCAGACGATAATAAACTGCTTATGTGGTTCGTATCTTTATTCGATGCATAAAATTTTGACAATTTCAGAGAACTTCTCTGAAATGATTTTATCATACGAAAAAATATGTCACGAATTATAATATCACTCATAATGGCATATATTCTATATTTGCATCATTAACCTATATCATGTTTTAAGTAACATATTATACAATATTAATATCGTTAATATAGTATCAGATTTTTAACGTATTTAAACACTTAAAATATCATCTCTTTATATCTCCAGAAAAATATACTTTTAAAAATCTTTTTATTTCTAAATATATCTCAAAGTGATTAATAAGCTAGAATATAATTTGGAAAAATAATAATAAATATTCCAAGAAATATGTACGTATAAATAAGATATAAAAATAAATAAAAACCTAAAAGACTTTCTATAAACATACTTGTATAGAATAATATAAGAAGAAACTATTCCAATTTATCATGCTGCGTGAAGCTGCGTCGGAAATTCGTACGCTTTAATGCATCGATAAAATCTCAATTGTAAAGTGAGACGTATAGAAATGTCGACGGTGCTCCATACATCGCCTTGGCATAAAAGGCACGTAAATGTACAGCAAATAGGTGCACATAAAGCCCAAGCTAGTGGGCTCCATTGACTGACGGCGCGACCGTTATAATTTCGCGCCAGACGCGCGAGATACGATGGATCGCGATATCTCGTGCCAGATTTAATTGAAGCTCTTACATAAAGATCCGGAACTAAGGTTTATCTACCGCGAGACCCCGAACATATTCAGCGAGGAGTAACGAGAAAGACATTGCTTCCTTTAGACCGCATCCATCAGATAAGATCTCCCGCACGCAATCCACGAATTACCTGAAAGGACAATTTCACAGGTATGGAAGGTACTATCACTTAAAAATCGAGATAAGAAACCGGGAACCCGCTGTGTGCAGAAAGAATGAGTCATTTATTCTCTTGTTTGAAAACAAATCAATTAGCACAACTGCAAACTAATACTAAACGTTACTGCGTGCATGAGATCTAAAAAGTCTAAAGAATAATAATTTCTAAAAAAATAATATTTAAAAACACAATAAATAACTTGTCATAAAATTTGTGTGTTGTAATATCATGAGCAAATTTATCATAATTTTTGTACAAGTATTTGCAGCCGTATTCTTTAATAGAGCTACGTATTATACATTAATTCAGTTTTGTTAAAACTGTGATTTAAGATTTTATCTTAAGATCCTATCGTCCTCCGTAACTTTAAATATGTAAGATGACACGTAAAGTGAAAAAGGTAAAGTAAACTTGTCTTAATTGAAGTGCACTGCAAACGTAGCCGCGAGAGCATCGTTCATTATCAGTGTAGCCGCGAGAAAAAATTAAAAGGCTCTCTTTTTTTCTTTGCATTCTTTTATAATTGTTTAAAAAAAAAATATTGTAAAAACTTTTCTACATTTTATATATTAATATACATATAAAAGGCAATAAGAGCTAATTAAGTTCTTTCATTAATATTTATTTGTGGAAAAAGATTTATAACATAAAATATTAGACAGACATAAATTCGAACGTTTCGAATAATATAATAAATAAAGGAGAATTTAAAAAAGCTAGTTTGTTTGAACAAAATGAAATGTTGTGAGTAAAAATAATCTATTTCTCTTTAACTTCTTTCTTCCTCTCTTTTTAAAATCATTTCAAGATAAAAAAAAAATCATAGTATAATTATTTATTTTTAAAATAAAATTTGTGTAATTATGCCTAATATCCTTTCATAATTTCAATAAATAAATGCAATTTAAATTTAATTAAAAATATTATATAACTTATAAAAAAATTTCTTATAAATAAAAAAGAGAGAAGGAAAACACCCATTACACTCATATCTCTCAAAATATAAGTTATACAGGAAATATATCTGTCCCTCATAAATTTTCATTCTACTTATTTTTCTTTTGACCTTTCGAGAGGAAAGTTGCAATTTGCACGCCACGGCATTTATGTAACTTCGTTGCTGAGTTATCACCAGTAGACACCACGTGGAAGTAATTACTGCCTCTTTCTCGAGACTGCAACGACGATTAATCGCCGCTACTGCTTATCATAATTAATTGCAGCATATAACGAGCAGAAGCGTCGCGACCGAAATCCGCGGCCCGACAACACCGAAGGTTCTCACGAAATCCCGCTTGCGCGATATTCAATAGCATGCAAGCGTGGTGGGCCGCGGATTTATCGTCGCTCTGGCGCCGGACGTTTATCCAGGATGGGTGGCATTTTAACGGGCTCGATATTTAACGAACGTCGCCGATAATATTTCTCGCTGTTCTCGCTCGTCGGAGCTAGTTAGCGACTGGGCTTCGAAAAAAGAGAACAGACACAGGAAGAGAAGAGGAAAACGCTCCCACGGGGCAGCTCACCTGCCGATAAACCACGTTAATAACGATAATCAGTTCATAAAGAGAGATAGGGTTGCAGAAATAACACAGACACGCTAATTTCTCACAGATTTTAAACGACAGATTCTGCTAAATATGCTATTTTGTATTTCGAATGTTAATATGATATGATGTGCTAAAGCGAAATAATATATTATCAATTTTATGTAAATATATTTGAAAAAAGATTATAAAATGTGAGAAAGAAAAATTAATTATATATGAATATGTAATACGTATGTATAAAGAGATGTGTCTTTCATTAATTCTGTTAAATGTCAAGTCATAATATTTTGATTAATTTTAACTGAAGTATTTTTTAACTCTTAAAATATTATTCAAAGTCTTGAAAAAATTGCCAATATATTTTCTAAAAGATCTTGAATCTGGAAACTTGATAAATTGTTATCTGAGAATTGAAAGATTATTAGAATTTTTTCATCTTTGTTTTTATTTTTTGTAGTACTAATTGTGTGACGTTATTTCCTTTTAAAATATCATCATAATTATATTAAGATTTCTAAAAAGTTCTTTAAAAAAATTCTTCAATATTTTATTGAAATTCTAAAAATATGATATTTCACAAATGTCAATAATGTTTGCATATGAAAAACTTTAAATTTATTATGTGTATCATTAAAGAGTCACAAAATATTTTTGACTTTTTTTTGAAGAATTCTTTATGCTAATTAGTTAATGTTTCTTCTTAATTTTTTGATCAAATCAAGAGAAGAACACTAAAACTCAAAAATTTATCCAGCATTTGAAACAACTTTTTTCATGACAGTGAAATTAGCATATATATTTCATACAGAATGCATATCATATTTTTTATCGTGTACATTCTGCGCCAAATTGACAGTGGTTAACGAGATCATAAGAAATTACGAAACAATTCTCCATTTTGCACTCGTCATGCTCACCGGAAACTTTTCTGACAGCTTTATTATTGTATGTTATATCGATGTCATGGATTGCGCGCTTCAACGCGAACATTGACGTTTACAATAATTGAAACCTGATCCGATGACGTTTGTAATAATTGAAAGGTGGAGTTACTTCTCGAACAGCAGCGAACGGTTGCTCGATCGATCGTTTCTACGAGAATTTCTATTAAAGTTCCGGCAAGCAGGAGTTATACAAGGATTCCGCTCGTGAAATCGGTAGGTCTGCGCACGTGTGCACACGCGTTTGCACGTGCGCATACGCACACGTCACAGACAAATAGCTTTCGTATATTTCTTGGCACATAGTACGACATACGACAGGGTTGGAAAACGCGAAAAAGAATGATATTCCGCTGCTGCAATAATGCTTGCATATCAAAACGAGATTAGGTGCGCAAATTATGCGACGAGCACATACATTATACAAACAGTGTCTTGGATTTTTATCAAACAAATATAAGTTATAGAGGCGATATTTGCATTAAACGACCTATTTATAATATCCTTCACAACTTGCCAAGAAATTCTTCCACGACCTCATACAAATCTTCCTTCAACTCACTGTTCTCGGAGAATACATCGCGATAATTTTTCATAATAGTATATTCGATTCATATGCATCGATAGATGATAAACCGAATGTAACAAACATGTTAAATCATATCATAATTTACTTATGGGTTGTAGAAAAATATCACTAAGATAATTTCTTAATAAAGTATATGCCCTTAATATTAAAGAAATATCGAATATTTAAGAAAAATAAAACAAAAAATTGATTAAATCCAATGATAAATTATTAAATTAAGGCCATGTGTAACGAGCAATACGATATTATTTTATTATTGAGAAGAAAATTCTTAATTTGAAATAAAAATTACACAAACGTTTCGAGCTCTACTTGCTCCTCTTCAGTGCGCAAAAAAATAGTGATAATAAATAACGATAATAAATAAATTCTTCTCAATAATAAAATAATATCGTATTGCTCGTTACACATGGCCTTAATTTAATAATTTATCATTGTTTTTATTGTCATACGAGCTTGAGCATTGGTATGTGATGGTTTGATTAGGTATTAATTTTGCATTGATTAAATCCAATTAAATAATAACGTTAAATTATACAATCAAATATATTTTTTGAAAAAACCGAAAAATTATTCAAATAAGTTAATTTTAATTTTGAAAACCCCGAAAAGCATTTTTATTTGTAATTCAATCTAAAACGTTGTATAAAGTTTCTAAAATAAACTTCGCTAGTAATACATCTTTTTCTTTCTTTCTCTTTCTCTTGTTATTTATATATGAG